CATTTCACTGTACTGATCAATATCGAGTGCTTAATTTGGGTTAAACTAATAGGTTGAACTAATCTATCCTATGTTTACATTAATACTAGCCAAAATAGCCAAAAGTGGAGTAGCAAACTGGTACAAATAATTTCACTAACACACAATATTCCAACACTTAGTCTTACACTACTTTTTTTTTTTTTGTAAAATGGATTTATTGATAAATATATGCTTTTGAACAAATCAAACAATCATACACAACGATTGAAATAACATCGTTGCATCTTAAAGGTATTACAAAGTTTTGGTATGGGGTCATGAATTTGGTTTAAATTAACAATTTCGGAAGCATATATGCGTTCCTACAATATTCATTGATCGTTGTCGCGGTTGAAATCGAGTCTAAAGTTATGAAATTATAAATAATAAACTCTTTATGTTGTATAGCTCCCTCTCAAGGTCAAGATATTAATTTAGCTATGAAACAATGTTTCTTGACTAAAATCAACATATTAGCTATTCCCGTTTGGAAATTATATATCACAACTACATATTTTGAGATTTTCGTGGTCGCAGCTACCATTGTACGGCCATAGGCGCTATTTGAAATTTTTCAAAATTTACCGGGAGCACCAGTAAATTTTTATATTAAATTTTTCTCGAAAACAAAAGGGTTTTAGTGGCTAATTTTTTTAGTGCTTATAATACATCCACAGGGGCATCCAAATATAACAAAATTGTAAAGATTCACTATCCACCCAATTTTCAAAATTTCCCAAAACTTTGTATTACCTTTAATATAGTTCAAATAAACCATGTTTCGTTTTCTTGAATAACAGTGTTTTCGAAATGCATAGCTTTTTTGTTTTACAGTACTTTTCGATCTTTAATTGGTTGTGGATTAATCTTTTGAGAATAAAAAGAATAGAGACTTCATGAAACATGAGTTTGCAATTTTCTGCTTGCATAAATGTTAAATAAACTGCGTATTTTGCATATATGATAAGAAAATTTAAACTTTTAAATATTTTGTTTTTCAAGTTATAACCTTCAATTAAAACGAACTTGTCAAAAAAAAAATTAACATCGTAAAGTTTTCAAATTATGTCTCCAAATTTTAACCAAAACAATCTTGTGTGTTTGCATTTTACAAATAAATGGAGATTGTTGTGTAACTGAACATCATATAAACATAAGGATTGTTACACAATTTCCATTTGAATAAATTATACCTATTTGGTAATAAGTTGTGTAATAACTTAAAATTGAATTCTGATATTTTGTTTTCTTTCATAGTAAATTAAATGACCATATGACTTTCCAGTCGATTTGTTCTGTATAACATTTCTTCCCATTTCTCTTCGATTGGAGGTCTAACAATTGAATGAATAGACAACGTAGAGTAGAAAAACTTCAATTTTCGTTTAGTCTTACACTACAGTCTACAATAACTTCAAAAAATCTAAGACAAAAATATCCAAGATTCAACGAACGTTTCAATTTGCAGTCCACAGTTCAATTATCACCGTCCAATTCTCGACTTTCAAAACAAACCTCAGCTCAACTTGTCTCCCGCCGAAGGTTGCTCCCTGCAAACCTGGCTTTGCAGACCAACAAAAAAAACAAGTTCATCAATCGAAGCATCAGAACATAAGAAAGACACCTTCTTCAATTGAGTCCTCGCTACTTGCAGGTTGAGTATCTTGACGAGGCATCAACGTTACGCATTTCCCCCGCGAGCTTCCCGATGCATGCAGTTCGGGTGCCAGGCCAGCTGACAAACCAGGTCCGGAGGAAATAGCGAGACTTTGAGTACCTCCTGTACGGGGAACCTCCTTCAGGTAGTACGTAGCTGATCACCCAAGTAGAAATGGTTTGCAAAATATTTCTTCCGAGGGGCAGTTGATTAAACAATATTTTGCAATTACCAAACGTTTTGGATATCACAGAATCACTCTTCGTGGACGTGTTGGAAACAGGTAAATGAGGTCTCTCGGGTAACTTCTCTCTCCGTCGTGATGATCCTCACAGTCGAGAAGCACGTGCAATGTGTTCCAAGAAAGGGCTCCAATTACCTGTTGGTCCCACTATTCGTACTGGACTATACTCTGCTACCGCCACATAATAAAACATGCCCTGAATAAACGCCAAGATACTTTATCGCTAACTCAACCCACAGCAACTCAAAATACTTCTGTGTTCCGAGCAAATGATATCGAGTTCGAGTGGTGGGTCGGCACAACAAACCAGCGGTAATCGCTAGCAAGCCAACGGCAAACTTCCCTGTTAAAGAAAGGAAGTTGACCCCATCCGTACTACCAAATGTGGTGGGCCCGTTAATGAGTTGGTGACAAGTTCAAAAATAAATGAAAACAAAAGAAGCTCGGATATACTATTGTTTGTTTGCTTTTATTTCTGCGTTCAAAATAATACAATACATAATATAAAATGTGTTTACAAAGATAATATACAAAACAAGGAAGTGAGCTTAAACTTTTTTTTTATAGATATATATCCATATATACGCACATATACCTACATATACATATATATATATATATATTATATACTATTGGAAACATAATTAATGCTATTTAACTTTTAGGTGTATATACCAAGTCAAACTAATAACCTTACAATTAATCGACCCAGCCCAGCTCCTCTATGGCTCTAGCGCCCCCTTTAGGTCAAATGAGTTGCCCAAATCAGCATACCACTACATAAGTAAGGTTTAAATGGCTTTTGGAATGAGCCCAATACCCTGTAATGCATTAACCATCATACCGGTATTTCAATATATAAGGGTTCTAAGCCATTAAAATATTCTACATGTAAGTAAGTTTTTTCTACATGTAAGTAAAGTTTAAATGGCTTTTGGAATTAGCCCAATACCAGTATTTCAATATAATAGTTAAGTTAAAGAAATAATCCAGAGCTTTCATAAGACATATAATTTCATACATTATTTTTTCTTCAATGATATGAAAATATCCCTTGATAAAACATGATTTTACAGGTCCCCACTCAACGCTGTGATACCTACTATAAGTTTCCCACAAATCATGGGATTTACCGTAATCATTTGTCAGTTTGGGCCATCAAACCATTTAAATCAATGTTAAATGGCTTTTAAAAATGGCTCTAAACTCTTTAAAGCACGTTTGAGCTTTTCATGCATTTTGATGCCTGCTATATTGAAACAGGAATCAAATTTGGTACACTTATATAGACATAATAAGATTAATTCTCTTCTAACATTCTGGGCCATTAAAATATTCTACATGTAAGTAAGTTTTTTTCTACATGTAAGTAACATTTAAATGGCTTTTGGAATGAGCCCAATACCTGGCTGTAATGCATTAATCATCATACCAGTATTTTAATATAATGGTTAAGTTAAGACAATGTTCTTACAGTTACAGGGTACGAATTTGAGAGTGAATTAGAAACAACTGTGTCATAAGTGATTGATGGATTTTAATAAAAAATATGTGACATGAATGACATAATCCAGAACTTTCAAAAGACATAAAATTTCATATTTATTTTTTCAATGATATGAAAATCTTCCTTGATAAAACATCATTTTATGTGGTTGATTTGATGTGTCCCCATGCACTCAACAATGTGATACCTCGATCCCATAAGTTTCCCACAAATCATGCACACACAAGACTGCACTGTATCCCCGTTGCCTGGTACTCATTCTCAAGCGCTCTAGACTTGGTAGAGTGGTCACAATCGGCAGAGAACTTGGAAGGAAGAGATATAACTCGACTTTTTTTACCATTGGCATTTTTTACCATGGGCTGTTCATGACGGTTCGACTATACCCCGTGTAGCATTTTCTATACATGGTACATCCTACTCAAGAAAGCACGCATTGTGTATAATAATACATCCCCTGGCTTGTTTCCACATATAGAAAAGAGTTTTATATTATATTCAGTATTGATTATTATTATTATTATTATTATTATCTATCAATTATTTCTTCCGTTCAATACAATTTGTGGAAATGCTCTAATTCCATTACTAGTATTCACTCGAAAACAGTTCATCATCAGTTTTATGATAAATTGCTATATATGCAGATTTCTCCGAATCAACAGTATTGAGTTCTTTCAAACAATTTTCGTCATCCATAATGACATAACTTTTTCCATTAAAGACCTTTGCTGTATAATGCCCACTGCTTGCACATTTCCCATGGTGCCGTATGACAGATACCAACTGATAGCTGGCAATTGACGTCTTTGTTTGAACTTCCACCTTTTCTTTGACATTCACTCTGGTATGGATTTTGGCACTATTTGGGAGTGTTCTTTGCAGGTGAATCACCATGACTTGGGGGCTTTGAATGATTTCCTCTAGTACTACGAGCGCTTTTTCACCTGCACAGAAATCACGTTTTTGTGCTTCTTTTTTGGCACTTTTGAGAGCATAATTGTCGATTATATCTTGAATATCGACTGATTGATTAGCTGTCGCATCAGGAATGGGCATTGTAAAATGGTGCAATGGAAACTTCCTACAAGATGTGGTTTTACAAGAAAGACACGTTTTATATTCACATGATATACTCAAAAACTTTTCCAGCATTTCACAAGCTTCTAAGAATGGAAAAATTGCTTTTGATATAAATTCAAAAGCGTCTTGTTGTTTATGGTATATAAAGAAACAGGTATCACATACCGCTTTGTAAGCAATTTCTATTTCAGACATGGGCAATATGTTTCCCTGATAGTGACCCCGTAATAATTTTCGCATAATTTTAAGTAGCTCATTATTAGCAACGTTACCAAAAGAAATCTTATCATTCTTTAAAATAAAAGATTGTAAAGGAGGAATGCATTTCAATGATTGCATGACCGAGTTAAGCCAGCAGTTATTAGATTGATTTTGCATTCCCTTCATAACATTACAGTCATACATCTTTTTTAATATGCTTTGGTTTTTTTTGTCCACGTTGTTATTGTATAGACTTTCTTCATGGATTGGATTAAACTTTTCATCACGATTGCTTTGTAAACTTTGTTTGATGTTCTTGCTATTTCGGTATAAGCATCCGTCTTTCACAGAAACCTTTTTTACTATATTGTTTGATACATTGTGCAGTGATATATTTTTATCGAGATCGCCATTTTTAACCTTTTTGCCCTTGACAAACCTGATACCCGGAGCGCCTCCAGCGAGTCTCACAACCTGGCAATGCCTTTCCTGAATTTTCTTCCCCAACTATAGATTAGAGAAACAAAAAGACAGAAGAGACAGTCAGAATGAATTATTATTCGATAGGCATAACATGTACAACAAACTACATGTATATACATGTACATACAAATACAGGTCCACATTACATCACAAGTACTATATTCATTCATTTTAAATCATAAATCTACGAAAATAATTGCTGACGTCTAATGATATGCTTTTCATGTGAGCAACCAGGGGACCTCTGCGAGGGACTTGGTAATGGGGATTAATGCATTGCGATTGGCCACGAGCGTATTGACTTGGTTTCGAACTCGGGACCTTCCGGTTAAAAGACCACTGCTCGACCACTGAGCCATCGCGTAATATCAATAATTGAATAATCTGATTGATTCCTGTCTACATGTAAATAAAATCAACGTCACTACTACCTGAATGTAATCTATGTTCAACCTTATTAGATAATTTGAAAATTTCAACTTTAAATAGTCCTGACCTATTGATGCATTACGATACATCGTTGTCTCTTATTATTACGCACTGTATTGCCAGTTTGTTTAATTAAAATGAAAGAGTTTGGTGAAAATATCTGGGATAATACTAATCATGTTTCTCCACATCAGAAACTTTACTCAATTGTAAGCATCTACAGTATTTTGAAAAGGCGGGTTACATAATAATGGTTTATTTATTCAAAAATATGCATTGCAGCTTAGGGGCTGAATTGTATAAAATTTTAGAAAAGTATTGATATGATAACAAAGTCACTATAAAAAAACATGATAATACAACAATATGTAATTGCAAATTATTCATGAGTGTACTACAAAGGAGCCCATTCTACCATTAAATTAGTAGTACGATTTTAGGTATATAGGTGAAGGTTCAAACTAAGACCATGATCGACACCTCTACAATGTTGTTTTTGTTGAGTTTTTATATTATTAAATCGCCATATTCTTTGATGCTTACTGCTTTTCAAATGAGGTTTAAGAAAGTAATGGCCAAGGAAACTCACTAATGAGAATTAAGAAAAATCGTAGGAGCGTGAGTGTATACTAACCATGATATCATTCTTCTTTTGAAGATCAGAGATGATGAGAGGAGTACCCTTGAAAGGTTGCAGAGTAACTGGCATCTCACGGTCTTCACCTGTTAATGTAATAACAAAATACTCTGTCATAAAAGTTTTTTGTTTTGATTTGCACGAAAAGGGTATCTTTTTAAAGACTGGAGATATAACGTTAATTCAATAACAAAAGTTTATTCCTATAAGAAACAATAACAAATTTTCAAGCATGAAATTTCACGTTCTCTTCTCATTACCTTGCAATGTTAAATTAAACGGCAGATTCTTCTTACATATTTCTGTCCGTTTAAAACAATAATTACGTATCTTGTAACATGTATACAATAAAATGTTCCCTGTGTAAAATTAAATAGGAAAAAAAAGAAACAACATTGTGAACTTTTTATTTTGATTTTAGTTTCAACGAGTTATTTCTAACTCTCTCGATTGTGCGATCACACAAAATTTGAGAATGTTGTCTGTGCTTCGTTGAAACTCTTACCGTCCTCATCTTGTTGGCACATCTCAACACCATCGGTAACGTTGACTTGAAAAGTTAGTTTGGGGAGTCCGACATTGTCACTTAGTACAAGACCGTCACTGTCCCAAATATTGAGCTCATAAGTGGGATATTGCAAGGGCATGTAGACTTCAACCTGTTGAACCCCTCCTTGTATAGCAATGTAACCGTCAACTTTCAAACTAAGGCCGGCCAGAAGGCTAGGAATAATGACCGAGGTGTCCTGAAATTCATAATAATGATGACAATTATCATGGCTTCTAATAAAGTGATTACATGAAAGTCTATCAAGCAGATGGTCATATCAATAAACAGACTTAATTAAAATTTATTTTAAAATTCAATTAAAAACTAGATGGAACTTCGACTGCCTCCGTCATAGAGCAAGTTTACAAACCAAAACAGAAGAAATTTTTAAAATTCAAGTTTCATTGTAATCCATTAACAGGTTCTCAGAATATCGTGATTACAAGCAATTTTTCATATACATATATGACCTTTTGATCTTTGACCTCATGACCCTAAAATCTACTCAGTTCATTGGCTCTGCAAGATGTCCTGGGTTAAATAGTAATCCATCTGTCATTTCTAATGAGAATGCCTTCACAAGCTATTTTTGCATACATAATGAGCCCATGACATTTGACCTTTGACCTCATGACCCAAGAATCTACTCAGTTCATTGACTCTGCAAGATACATATATGATCTAAGTTTGGCAGGAATCCATCAATCTGTTCTAATGAAAATGCGATTACAAGCTATTTTGCACACTTAATGAGCCGCATGACCTTTGACCTTGACCTCATGACCCCAAAATCTAATCAGTTCATCGGCTCTGCAAGTAACATACATGACCTAAGTTTGGCAGGAATCCATCAATCGGCTCTTGAGATAACGCGATCACGAGCTGTTTTTGCATACATAATAAGCCCCGTGACCTTTGATCTTGTGACCCCAAAATCTAATCAGTTCATCGGCTCTGCAAGATACATACATGATCAAAGTTTGGCAGGAATCCATCAATCAGTTCTTGAGATAACGCGATAACGTGATCACGAGCTGTTTTTGCATATATAATGAGCCCTGTGACCTTTGACCTCATGACCCCAAAATCTTATCAGTTCATCGGCTCTGCAAGATACATACATGATCAAAGTTTGGCAGGAATCCATCTATCAGTTCTTCAGATAACGCGATCACGAGAACGGGACGTACGGACGGACGGACGGACGGACAACCCGAAAACATAATAACTCCGGCTACTTCGTAACGGAGGCATAAATATCATGCACTTTTCGTGCACAGATAGGAATGAAAACAATGGAGTAAAGTGTGCTAATTGAAGAACCCCTTTGTATTTATTAATCACCCGAAAATTACAGTGTGTACAGTATTAATGGTGTTTCTGAAATATGCAGGGCTTGACAATAAAGCACATGTATATTGGTTAAATAGTAATTTATCTTAATTAAAAACATACTAGAATGTACATAATGCAATATTTTCCTGCTCTGTATTTAATAGAGCATGCAAACACTATTTAAAAAATTTTTTTTTAAATTATTCAATTTTTAAATTACTATCTGGTTGTTTAAACACACGTTACAGTGTTTACTGAACAAACCAAAAAAAAATCAGTTACCGGTACGTGTCGCTATAACTCATAATCAATATTGTGCTCAATGGAAGCAACTTTGTTTTAAATCTCTCTCAAAAAAAGTGTGATGTTTACATACAGTGGTAAGCTGAACTTTGTTTCATTCATTCTTTTGATCCTTCCTTTATAATATTGATCCATTTGAATATGATTGATTTAATTTTTCAAAACTTTTTATAGTATACAGATACAAAAAAGTACCAGTCGAAAAATTCCTCTTCAGATGCTATATCAAATTGCCAAATTGAATTCCTATACATGGAGTTATTGAGTTTTATCAAGACATAAGATCACATAATGTATTTTTCTGCCTTTGTTCATCAATACACCTGACTTAATACACTCTATTATCAATTTATAGCCACAGAAACCCTAATTAATTCTGATGTTATATACAATCATTATGAAGTATCGTACTCGTAAGGTAACTTTGATTTATTTAATAATGTGTAATAATTTGTTTGTAGCACATTGTTATTCATACATGTATGTATCAGTCTGTTATCACTGTTATCTATCTGTTTGTATTTTATACTGTATTTAAAACCCAACCCCAACTTGTGGTTGTAATAAAGAAAGAAATACATGTATCAGGCTAGACAATGAACTTCCCTTACAGTAGACAAACCAACAAAGACGGAATTAGATTTTTATTCTTTTCTTTCAGGCCAACGAATAGGTTATCCACCTAACAAGAGCTCACAAGAAGATTTTGAATAAGGCCATGTTTAATTTGATGGTTGATTATTGTTTTTACCTGACTGCTACCAAAGCATGTTTATGCCATTTCAATTTTCAATAGCTGAATGCCTGGATTAAAAAAGGTACAGTTAAACACTCTTCTTTGATAGAAACTTTCAAATATGATGAACAGTAATCAACTGAGGGTACCTCTACGTATACCAAAGAACTCAACACCTACAAAATACTCTGTGTCTGAATAATGATATTTGCATGGTTGACCACTGGATAGATTCTGGACTGTAAGCAAACATGAGTGCATAAAGCAATCAAGCACTGCATGGTGACCAACCAGAATGATAGTGAATTATACAAAATCAGATCATTCTCAAGGAGCATATCTGTTTTTGAAAATCAGCAACCTTTTTATGAACGGATTTTGCTTATCGATGCCCATGCAGGAGAATGCCAAAATAAGAGATCTTTGTGAAGACGAAAGACATCACTATCTCCATATGACTATAAAAGTCTACAAGGCTTGGAGCAGAGAACCGGTGAGAACCAACAACATTAACATGAACTGTAAAACTTTCAACAAAGCAGTAATTACTTCAACAAAGCAGTTAATTGAAATAATACAAAAGATTGCTACTTCCTTAAAAGTTGATTTGATGGTTGGTGTGTTGCATATATTTTAGAATTGTGAAAAGAAATACAAGGCCAAATAAAATTGATTCATATTTTCTTGTTCAGATCTTTTTGAGAAAAAAAAGGAGGGGCCCTTTACATGTCCTTTCATATCTTTATATTTTATACATAGTATACACAACATATGGGGTCATGTTTCAACAATTTCCTTGAAAAAGCTCGAATTGTCTATGCACTACAGAAGCCTACACAGGTTCAAATTGCATTATACAGATGTTTGTTACTAAATATATATCTTCAGATTATCCTTTATTTCATGTCCCCAAAATATTGAGTAATTAAAAAGGAGGAAGGCAGAAAAAAGAAATTGGATAGAACAACTTGAGAAAAAAGGAATCATTTTGATTTTGCCTTGAATATGTTTTATATTGGCACATATTTTTCTTCTCCCCCCTCTCCTCTCAATCTGCATGATTAAAAATGTTTAAAATCATCTACAAGTTACAAGAGCTTCTTTACGAATGTATAAAGGCTAGCACTTATATCCTTTTGATTACATTGATTGCATTATCAACATGTAATTCTACAATACTGAATGTCGTGGAGGGGAAAGGGGCTCAATTAAATTTCCCATATCCTTGTGACAGCACAAAAATTACACTGCAACATGGATATACAGCTCCATTTTATACTAATCCAGGAGCCGTGTCGCTCGCTCAGAATCAGCTCCTCGTAAATCAAAACAAGACTGACAATGATAACTGTTCCATCCATCTCACCATTAATCCAGTCTCGAGAAATGATCAAGGTACATATATTCTTACTGCTTACAAGAATGGTGATATATACCCGAGTATCCAAGAATCGGGTTGCGCGTTGACTATCCTCCCGGGAAGCCATCGTGCCACTCGAGTACTGAGTACATTGTCAGGGATTGGGCCACGCTGCAATGTACAGCTCCAGCAGGCACTCTGCCAGGGCAGATAGTATGTTACCAAAATGGCAGCAGAGTCCCGCCGTTGACTGTACCCTCGGTAAATACTGGTACGCTGTATCAGAGTATGTTGGTTAAGTTAGCAGGTATTGTGGTCTGTTGTTCTTCTCTTGCCGAACACACTAAAGATAGGTGTGAGTGTATGGATTGCGGGTGGGACCCAGTTCTTAACGGGGGCCGTTGCCGACATCCCAGAGCCTTGTCCTACTGTGTCACTTACGGAAAGTTCAACAACAATCTCCAACCCAACAAAAGACAGAGAAAATTCTACCCTAACCTCTGATCTGATTACAGAACGATCACGAGAGATTATTAATTTTTATTCCTCTACAAATTGTTCTCAAAGCTGGGAACATGGTATCATTGGCATCTTACTTGTCATAACCATCATTTTGAATTTACTGCTTATATACAGGAGCTTTAAAAAGCTACATACAAACAAGAAAATGGAGTGTTCACCCCAAACAAGGACAAATAAAAAGCGTTCAGCAGAAGAAACTAAATTTTTCAGATTGAGCTCGCGAGTTTAACAAACTTTAAGTTTTATAAATTTAAGGGCAATCAAACCTTTGTAATAAGCTCATTTGTATGAAAACAGAAAAATAAGAGAAACAGAATGGCAAAGTTTGAAATAAAGTAGGCCAATAATTAGAGACTTATGAATCTTTGAAAATGAGATCACTTAATCTATGAAAATTTAAAATTGACAATTCGGTCAATGTATTGTGAGGTACAAATGTAGTCATGGACAACTCTGCCCTGTGTTGTGTACCGGTAAAAAATTCAGTTTTATCCTAAGGGCTTCTCTTTTGGGGCACTACTCAAAATATATTATGGAAAGCATATTAGTATGGGACTTGGGTCTTCTAAAACGTTAAGACCCCCCTGACTTCTGAGTCATATTTTTGGACAAATTGAAATTAGTAATGAGCATCATGAAAGTCTAAATAGAGGATGTTAAACCATTTCATACCAACTAATTTTCAGTAAAAAGATGTTAAAATAATTTAAATTGCGATCTTGCAGGTGCATACAAATTAGATTTTAAAAAGGGTAATGACAGCGAGAGGAAAAGCAAGGATGTAAATAGAGGGATTTAAAGCTACTGTTTGCTTTCTATTACATCTTTAGGTAACTAAAAAGACCTTTTGTATCCTTTTATTCTGCCCTTTTAATGTATTCCTAGATAGTTCAACAGGAATGGTACAATGACTTAAGTAGTAGTAACAATGCAAAATTGCATATGAACTGACATAAAATTTGCATTTTCTATTACAGTTTATTACAATTTGATTACTTTTCAGGACAAAATAAGAGCTACATAATTGATGTGCATTACTAGTTTAATCAGTGTTTGAGAACTATAAAACACTGTTAATATTTCCAGGTTGAATGTTGTATACATGTATTTTCTATTATACTATTTCAAAACATATTTATTTATCAATATCTATGTATGTAATGTAATATCTATCATTATGTGTAGCACAAATCATACCTCTAAAAGTACTCATCACATCATACTAAAACAAAAGTACATTATGCAAAGTTATTATATGGTTGTCAATGTGCATTACTGGTAAAATCAGTTTTTAGAGAAATGTAGCGGCTCTTACATTCGCCCTACTTTCACCGTATATTCATGTCTCCTGTATTTTTCCATCACGGTACTTATTTATATTCATTATTCGGACCACGTGTGTTTTTCCTTCCAATCGAGCACCGTGGTTCCGCGCATCGTTCACCCGCGTATTAAACGTCACGAGGTTTTTTTCTCCACTCCCGCTTACACCTCGGTCGAGTCAACAACTCCTGCTTACATCTCAGTTGAGTCAACACGTCTCTACACGATTTTCCTCTCCGGGCTTGATTCTACTGTGCCTACTTCTATCGGCACATCTTCACTTTCTCTGCCGTGTTCATCGGGCTGCAGTCTTCCAGTGGAACAGTTAAATCTAGTTCTGACATATATGGTGCTTGGTTATCCGCTGGGAGCTGCCAGTTTCTTCACCGGTAGTCTTTCACTCACATGAGCTCGACTCACCGCAGCTCATCTAAACATTCACCATCAAAGTTCGGCTCATCAATCGAGCGACTCACTGCTCAGCACCACTACCGGCTTTGATGTCTGCATTTTCTTCCTTGGCCTCCGACATCAAACGACTCACCGTTTCGTCATCGAGCGCCACACATCTCTTCTCTTCTCTTCTATTCTCGCCCGAGAGCTCCATCTACATTCATCATCATCACGAGCGTCGGCGACGACATCGCGTTCTTCACGGTTCTTCAACCACGTCAACGAAGTCGCGTTTCCGCCTCTTCAAGCCTCCGCACATTTCATCGCGTGAGCCCCTTCCTTCGTTCTCAACTCTCTTCATCTTCTTTGGACTTTCGACTTCATTTCTACTATTGTCGTAAGCTCTATTTATGTACATCGCATTTATTCATGTTCATTATCATCATTGATCATTATGTAATCTCCGTGCAATATTCACATTTATCATTTATGCATTTTCATTCCGAGTCATCGCTTGTGCTTGGCTACACTTTGCAAGTGTACGGCCAGCCTCATCAGTACCCAATAAACATAACGAAAAGGGAATACTTTCTTTCATGTATTTTATTGTCAGTGCAACCTTGTTTCCTCGTAGCTAAAATAAAAATAAGAGTTATGTTGTGTGACGAGTGAACACGCTTTCAAATATCCATTCACAATACCTCACACACTCATATCTCTACAGAACTATAAAACATTATATACCTCACTTAAGAAATCCAGCCACCTGATTGGTCGAAATTACATTCATAAACTATTCATAACTATTCCTGTAAAATTCCAAACCCATATAATAGTTCAAAAAAATAGTTCTAAAATCCCAGTTACCATGGTTACTGGGAAAATAGTTCTAAAAAATAGTTCTAAAATCCCAGTAACCATGGTTACCCATAGGTTTACATGTTAAAAAATGGTTTGAGCGATCGCAGATACTGTACGTGTGCGAAGAAGTGGTCGGCATTTTTAGTACGGCAATATATCTCGATTCAAACAAGGCAAAAATGGCTGTAGAAACTCTCCCAAGATTTCAACTTCTGGATGAGGATCAAATGAGAGACATGCTGACAGCAAGAACACCAAAAAGGGTACGTGAAATCTTCCATAATTTTTTTTCAGTAGGCCTAGATCTAGATTCTAGTACGCGACAATCAGATGCTGGTGATTGTAGTGATTTGTACGTCACGGACAGATGCAGATCCTTCCCGTAGAGATTACACACATCCCTATGCATTTCCATTGGCCATTGCGCACTCGATCATGCTAGATTGGTCGATGTTTTAATTACCAGAGATTCAAACTAATATTGCTTGTGATCCTGAAGGTGATACTCAATAAGTGAGGTGTCATGTGAAAGCGCAGGTTTTTCTCTATATTCCCCACAGGGCCGGCCCACCCTTAAAATTGTAAAAATATCTTGCTTAGACTAGAATCTAGATCTAGTTTTCTCTCAAAGAAACACTCATAAAAAACAACCATGCAGATCGATAAACTAGAGAAAGGCCAAGGTGGTGTCATAATTTTTTCGGCACATAAAAGTATTAATGACTGCTTTAATATTCGAGAAAAAGTTGTTTTTATACGCTCTCGGGAAGGTAACAATTGGGCTATTGCCCTCGGCATGCCTCGGGCAATAGCACAATTCTAACCTTCCCTTGAGCGTATAAAAACAACTATTTCTCTCAAAGCAGTCATTAATACCATATTATTAATATTTCATGTTGAATGTTGTATACATGTATTTTCTATTATACTATTTCAAAACATATTTATTTATCAATATCTATGTATGTAATGTAATCTATCATTATGTGTAGCACAAATTATACCTCTGAAAGTACTCATTACATCATACTAAAACAAAAGTACATTATGCAAAGTATATGGTTGTCAATGAGAATTATCATACTATCAATAATGTGGTAAAATACGCAAATTGGATGTAATTAGTGATTTTTTTTTTGTAACCAAAAGTATGACAGCATAATCACAAATATGAAAATAGATCTCTTTGTGTAGTGATTTAAATTGCATTAAATCTTTCATTCCATGTAACATACAGCACTACTGTTTGAAATATAATGGCACATTTCAAAATCTCAAAAAGCATGAAATTTTGTTTGTCATTCATTGTGTAAACTGTGAAAGAACATGTTATCTGCCAAGAGGCCCATATGAGTATGGTACACACAGATTTCCTTACTAAAGACTTTACATCCTTCTTGCTCTCAGCAGATACTATATCAGTCGTTATCTTCATCATATCAGTTATCATGTGACATCCTGTCTCTTCTCTCTTTGCATCCCTTTCTTGTTTTCTCCGTCCATCTACACATCTATCAAACTACTTTTCAACTTCTAGCTTCATACCTAACTACTTTTATTCTTCTATCTGCACATCTATCTAAATCCATAAGTTGATCCTATGTTGTTCTTCAAATTGGCAACAATAATGTTTGTCTTTCATAACTACTTTGACCATTGTTCTAATTAAATTTAATGTCTCTAAAAACAATATATAGGTACCGGTACAGACTTTGTCAAAAAGTTGAGAAAATTGCCAATTTTGATTGAACAATACTGATCCAGAACTTGTCAATATGTTGCCAATTTAAGGATTATAAAGCTTATTTTCCTTTTTAAAATCCCTGGCATCAAACGCAATATGGCCATGCAAGAAAAATAAAATGGATGCAGTGTATGCAGAATGTGTGCTCTTTCTACTCATACATCTGGTTTCTTTTTTAGGGCACTGAATCAAGGTCTTTGAGCCAAACCACAAAATGTGAAATGATTGTCCCAAAAGGGTTACCTAATTAGTCCATCAGTCTTTAAACTCACCTCAATCTTATTGACCAGCTCCACATCCCACTTGTGAACCACAAAGTTGGTGACATGGCCGCTCCCCTGGCTCCCGACGCGCCCCACCCTCCCTGCCCGATGGATGTAGTCAGACGTGAAGGGAGGGAAGTCCAAGTTCACCACATGCTGGACCTGTGGGTAAACAAACAACATCAGGGGGGTGTTTCACAAAGATCCTAATGAAACTTAACTCTAAGTTGGACTTAAACGATATGGAGAGTTATCTGTAGCCTTAAAATAGAATATTTTCAAAAGCGAAAATTCAAGTATTTCTAACATGAAATCTCCTCGATTATAGAAAATTTGAATGATTTGAATCACCATTTTATACCTTTAAAAATATTTGCATAGATGCTAACGGCTTTCCATCATTGTTAAGTGCAACTTAGAGATAGGTTCGTCTTAGGATCTTTGTGAAACACCCCCTGTATATGTAAAACAAAGTCATCTTCTGTGAATTAGTATGGAGATTTACTTGTATTGTACAACATGGTATCCCATCAAAACAGCCTGAAAGTTAGGAAGTTCCAGAGCTGTTTTTTTTTTTTTGGGGGGGGGGGGGGCAAAGGTCACATAAATCTCTGACAAGTTGGGAAAAGAGAACACTGGCCTAACTTTGCATATTTTTTTTTAACCAAAAAAATGGATTAGGTCATGGAAATGAAAATGAGAAAGTAATTCCATAGTAGAAATGTGTGCATTAATTCATTGTGGTGATTTGTACAGAGTAAAGAAGTCGATATTTGGCAGCACATAAGTTGGTGGACAAAATGTATGCACAAAGGCAGTGTTCAGGTTTAACTACACCTTGCCCAAAGCTAGGCAGATTTCAGCATGGCATATCTGCTCACACGAGGCATACATTGCATACAGTTAACTCTGCATAAGTCAAATCTGTTGGGGCCACTAAAGATAGGCTTTAAAATTTGACTTAGCAGTGTAAATAACACACATTTTGCATATAGTTTGGTCAAAAACTTTGATTTGAAAATTTGGCTTGTGGGACTTCAACTTATGCGAAGTTAACCTGCAAAGTTGAATGTGTTTGATTGCCGTGACATACCTGAACTGTATCCACTCCTCTTGAAGCTATATCTGAACAGACCAAGATGTGGGCGTCACCTGATTTGAATGCTTCCATTACTCCACTACGAGACTGGATGAATGATTTAAGAAAATAAAAGACGATTGTAAAAAATTTTAATCAAATCAGTCACCTGGTAGTCCCCAGATACTATTCACTCAATGATTTTCATAGTGACTTATCAAATGTTAAAACAACAAAAACATACAAAAGGGGGCAAAATTAATGTACATGTATTCTTCAGTCAGAGTAGCTTCAATAAACACTATATCATGTACTATGACTAACAGAGAATTATGTTTGCAACAGAGTCACTTGGATAGAAAATAAATTGAAGTTCATATGCAGTTGACATTATTACAAAATGTGTGTTTTGAAGCAGGTCTGTCCCTAAAAATCTGAAATAATTTTGTCATGACCTCTTCATCTATTTTCAGTTAGTGTTTCTGTAAATGTATGTGATTTGTCCTATATAGTTGTAATTTCTTATAAAGATGGCTAATGAGATTTATCAATTTGATCTATGAATATATTTATTGTAGATTTAAAGTATTTAAAAAAGAGGAAAATATATCAATTTATCAATAAAGACCCTTACTGCAAAAGAACAGACTTTGAAATATTCCACCATTTTTCATTGTTCAGGATGAAGTTATATCACAAGGTTAAACTAAAAATGCCTTAGGCACCATCTATGTTGGTCATAGAATATCAATTACCATACCTTGCCACCCATTTTAGAGTGTAGTCTGAGGGCTGGTATGCCATTCTCTGTGAGGATGTGAGCTAACCAATCACAAGTGGATGCCATGTTACAGAATACCATCATGGGTACACGTCTCTTCTGCTCTCTCTTCACCAGCTCAAGAATCTTGACTGCAGAGATTATGGTAATAGAAAAAGTATAATCCACTTTTAGTATATATGATATCACAAATCAGGTTATGATATACATTGCCTCAAGTCACTTCCAAAGTGCTTTGGGAATTGATATCCCGGTTTAAGCATCAGTAATTGTAATGGACAAAAAGTGAGAGAGAGAAAGAGGGAGAGAGAGAGAGAAGGAGAAAGATGGAGAGACACAGACAGAGAGAGAATGATAGAGAGAATGAGAGAGAATGGTAGAGAGAAAGGGATAGAGAGAGAATGAGAGAGAGAATTAGAGAGAGAGACTGAGAAAGAGAGAGAGGGAGAGAGAGAGAGAAAGGGAGGGGTCAGATATGAGAGTTTAATTGGAGGTAGGGAGAAAAAGAGAAAGAAAATGAGAGGATGAGAGGCAGAAAGGAGGAAGATGTATTGCAGAGAAGATTGAGATAATAGTGAGGAGAGAAACAAATCAAAATCAAATCAAAGTAAAAAACAAAAGTAAAATTTAGAATAAGAGTAAGAATTCAAAAATAAGAATTTTCCATTAAATTAACCCCCTAAAAATAAATAAATAAAATTCAAACTAAACCTAAATGTATAATGAAAAATCAAACTCCAAATCAATGACATACGTGCTTTGTCTTCTGAGTGCAGCCTGAGGAACTTCTGATGTACATGAGGCATGATACGATGAACATGAGGGGTAGAAATCACTTCTAGATTCTCAGGCTATAATAAAAGCATGTTAAAAAGCCAATATAATCAAATAATCAATATACCGGTAGTACCGTAAATATCCAAATGCTATACACAGAAACTAAAATGTATGGCAAAGATGTGAAAACAGGAGTTAGACTTAGTTTATAAACACATCTTTCCACAACTGATGTTTCAGAACATTTTATTTAGCTGTTTTATTATTATATTCAGCACAACCAACATAACTTCTTTTAATTAAGCAACATCTGATTTGACACTCCATTAAACTCAACCATGGTATTGTAGTGGTTACACACTATTTAAACATTCATCAGACTGGAGAAAAACATATATATTTATTTCAATACCTGACCCCCCCCCCCCAATATACAACAAAATAATGTTAAAGCTTTAAAGGTATGTATAGTCATTGAATATTCACATATTTTAGGGATAGACAGTCACTAAAATAGAGTAAGAACTTCACCAGTGGAGCTAATCTCTTTTCACTCTTTTCTGAAAGTGTTTATTATCATTACTTTGCAACAGCAAGGAATTGAAATTAAATTTCTACCATCACAGAATACAGTAGTGCGAAAGAATTTCATATGATATCGCCACTTCATCAAACTTGAAGCACTTTTATATTTCAGACCATATCATCTGCTAAGAGTAAGAAAGGCATGAACTCAAATCGCTTAACACAGAGTCAATGCCCTTCTAGCTCTCCACAAACAATATGCTATTAGTCAAACCTGCTTTAGCGACCACCTGTATAGAAAGATCACTTGTCTACAAAGACCACATTTTTGTTTCCCTTTAAAATGGTTTCTCATTGAATCATGTACTGAAGGAACCTGTACATAAAGACCACTTTTTGTGTTTCCCTTGGGCGGTCGCTATAGACAGGTTTGACTGTATTTTATCAGCAGATAGATAGAAGTGTCACTGAACTCACAGGAATGATTTCAGCCAGGATATTGGTGGCCTTGCGTGGCATGGTGGCCCCTACCATCGTCAGCTGAGCCTCTCCTGGGGCGGTCACCTTACAAGCTTTCCCTTCTCCAACCTGACAGTTTGTTTGTTTTTGTTTGTTTTTTTTTTGGGGGGGGGGAGAAGGGAGAGAAAGAATTTGTAAGTTTATAGCACATTGGCAATTCTATATAGATGCAAAATAATTGCTTTTAAACAGTGGAAGGAAAACCAATGTTTCTGTACCTAGTATTTTTCTCCCTTTTAAACAAAAATGTGCCTTGGACCTCATATTAACCTTTCTGAGAATCTTGAGTATCTTTTGTATTGAGCTATCCTGCAGCATTATCATAAAAATAACAATAATTTGATTCAGATCCTGGCTTTTCCAGAGGATAAAATGTGTTGTCAGTTTAAAACGATGAAACGATTCCCCCTTGGTTTTCAAGGAACAATTATTACAATGAAACATTTGGCAGTACACCATGTTTGACGTGTATTGCATATAACGTGCGCACTGCGCGCTACATCAGTTCTCCTTGAGAAATTTCGAAAAAATGGCAGTTTCCTTGAGGAGCAGTCGACATCGTAAATATATGGCAAAGCAGGGTCTCTTTATTGTTCTTGCAAGACAATATTATTTGGCCTACGTACAGCAATGCTTTTTATATCAAATGAAATGTTGATTTTACTCTCTATGTCATGATAATGCTTTATAGTTGAGAGGTTAATTTCCCTTTAAGCTTAGATCACATGTTAGAAACCATCACATGATAATATTAATGGCGTACCAGCAGCAGCAATATATTGCATGAATTTGAGCCCTATAAACCATGTGGTCCACTGTCCAGTGACGTAGCAACTAAGACCATGAAACCTCTACAATGTGTGATATATGGTACATGTACATGTATTTTTTAATTTAAAATCGTTATATTCTTCAATGCTTATCGTGCACTGTTTTTCAAATGATGTTTAAGAAAGTAATGGCCAAGGAAACTCACTAATGAGAATTAAGAAAAATTGTAGGAGAGTTGATTGTAGTTACTAACCATGATATCATTCTTCTTTTGAAGATCAGAGATGATGAGAGGAGTACCCTTGAAAGGTTGCAGAGCAACTGTTTCCTCCTTTTCCTTCTCCTCTGGGTTCACAGTCCTGTAGGGATAGAATTATATTATAAGCGCATAAAGACAATATGACAACATTATTTTTCATGAAAGACTTATACCGGTACATGTATTCCTTAAACTTTTGTTATTTGAATTTTTGACATATAAAAGGGTAGAATTATTAACTCATTTGAAAGTGATGTAAAATTTTAACCAAGTTTTTAACAATAATGAATGTGCCCAAGAAGACTCTTTGAAAGCGAAAACTACCATTCAAGGTACAATAAAATTTTTAAAAGGCTATTTCGTTAGCAGTTTTCCGAAATTGTTTTGAACCTTTCTCTGTCAATAAACATGATTGATTAACCATTCAGTAGTGTTAACACAGATGGCTTTTTAATATTTAAACCAATGCATTATAAGTATAACACAAATTACTCCTAATATGTTGGTCATTCTACTTAGCATTTTGATGAAAGAAATTAATCAAGGTAATTCAATATGCTTTGAATCATTCAAATTCATCAACTCAGACTATATGTATGAATTTGAATGCTTCATTTTTCATTACTCTTCGAGTCTTTTGAATCCCCCGTTTTGTCAATTTTGCAGTCCTGCATTGTATATCAATTTCATCTTATCCGAGGACGGGCTGTGTCTGTGGTGTCGCCAGATTTTACTATCCGAGTATAATTTTCTCATCATTATATATCAGCATGATTGATGTTCCAAGTACCATCTCATATTTGTGTGCTAATGGTCCTCCAGTTCAAATTCTATCAGATCTATGGCATTACCGAGATCGTTTCCATATCAAATAATTAGTTTAGCCCTTCTTCATTATTCAGTCTCATTTATTCGGCATTACAACGATCTTACCTCTGTTGTTGTGAATCCTTCTGCAGTCCAGCTATCGCGAGTGATTGATCCCTTCTATTCAGGTCTTTTTCAACCAATGTTGAAGTGTTTGAGGTTCTGCTTGAGTATGCTTCCTAATCAACAACAACAACAAAAAATATTATTATTTCTTTAATAATACGATCTAAAACTCATATAATAATAATAATAATAATAATCTTTTAAAGTTCACTCCAAATTTTATTAAACCGAAACAGAAATTCTTTTTTCCCATTTGATCGTGAGCCCAGCAGCCACTGAGCAGCGCCAGAGCGACGTTGCTCTATCCCTTATTGTTGAACGCCAAACAAGGTAGCAGCAACTCCCATCTTTTAACGTCTTTTGGTATGATGCGGCCGGGGTTCGAACCCACGACCTCCCGGTTGTGAGGCGGACGCTCTACTGACTGAGCCAACACTCATATATACAATTATATATGTTTCATTGAAATTGATTATGTACTCTTTGAGATATTGTTGCTTAAAAATTAGTTGCAATTTTGCAGAAACATCCCCTACACACATAGATGCGTCTATTAGATATATTTTTAAGAGCATGTCGAGTTTGGGACACGTTAGAAAAAAGAAAAAAAATAGACTATGAGATCTGTATTTACTGATTTATTCAACCCCACCCGTGATCACGTTTATCAAAGGAATTTCAGATTGCTTTCCTTTGACGAACCCTATTTCTAACTGAGGCCTAAATTAAGTTGGGCATCTTTTTTATCTGGTACAGTGCTAATTTTATTGGAGGAGCTCGCGCCTTTGAATGTTTTTTTTAAACAGATGTATGGCGCCATACAAATGCTGTTCATCATCATCATCATCATCATCATCATCATCATCATCATATAAGTACATGATGTGGATTGAAGAAAGGAGAGGGTAAAAGTTACAACTGCCTAATTAAGGTGCATACATTTACCTCCTGTATTATTTTGTTTAGTATTGCATCGATGTCGATATCCTGTAGGTCCAGAGGGGCCCTTGCTCGTTGCCGCTTCTGGTGTTTGTGAGCCTTCCTAGGCCTGATCTTATTTGACATATTGACATCACTTTTAGTATTTCCCCAGGTGTAGCATCCGGCCATCGAAGGTCTTGCAAATGCTTTGAAATCCTTATTGATCGAAATCTCCACATAACCACTGTATATGCAATTATATAAATGAGACAATAAAGATATATTTTCCAATTTGGAAGTATTGCAATTTTAATAAATGCTTATTAATTCCGGATTTGTAGACAAAACTAGACATGTAACGGTACCAGTTCTAAAACAGTAATATTTCCTCTCAAAATATCACTAGGATTGTTCTGTAATCCATATGATATGGAATGCAGACTATATATTAGCAAGATCAGCTAAAGTTGTTGCCAATATTAAGTCTGTAAAATCATTATTTTATTATAATAGTTAAATGTTCAGTTTACTCCTTTGATGTTCATATGTTTAGATGTTTAGAAGGGATTATTATTGTCCTTCTCTTCCGTCGAACCGTGTTTGCTTTAAAATAATGAATGAAGAACATACTTCTGATGAAGCCTTTTACCTATTGCTTTTGTAAGCTGTTTTGATTTCATGTTTGGTTCATTACATAACCAATTGAATCTGAAACCTTTTTTTTTTAAAGCGTTCGTATTTATTTGCAGTACACGTCGGTCTTGTTATCATGTTGGAAACATCGTCTATGAATGTTGACACAATTATAAAAAATGCTTATTATAAATGAAACTACTTATACTAGGCTTGGGCCCATGCAATATTGCATAAAACTCAGCATGGATGGTAATTATGCCATTAATAGTAGCTTAAATGGAAACCTTGATTTGATTGGCTGAACACGCTCTTCTATAATATAACTTGAGGGGCCGTACGTCTGACACCATCTCGATTGATTTCTTTGCTATTTTTTGTGTTCAGAGAGAGTTTGGTGCAAAGGGTGGTGCTGGCCGGTGCAATCGGCCCGACTTTGGGATTTGTTTTGTTTTGTTTTGGGTTTGTTCGTTGTTGTTGTCTAAGTAATTTTGATGCGTCATATATTACCATATTTGCCGGCGTAAAGGCCGCAGTATTTTGGAAGAGAAAATATCAAAAAGTTGGGGTGCGGCCTATGCGGCGAAAGAGTAAAAAAAAAAGTAAGTCAAAACCAGCACGAATTTGCACATATGGGACTAGATCTACGAACGGTACAATAACTATACATTTCCACACATCTTACCGACAATTTTATCTTGCATTGTTGACATGAAGACGAAAATAAACTTCCAAAAACAACATCTGCCGATAGATTTTGATCTAAGTTCGTGCCAATGCATTGCAAAAGTAAAAGAAGGGCCCGTTTAACGGAGCTGCCGCGAAGCATCCAGCACGCGAAGTCGCTATTTTGAATCCATTTCAATACACAAGAGAGAGGCGCAATGTATACATCACAGAAAACTACATAGGCTAGCATCAGTGCGGCATGGCCGCGGTCTAAGGCAGTGATTTTACTCACATCAACATTTGTACGCAAGAGATCAAATCCCGACTTCGACAAAATAGTATTATTATTTTTTTATTTTTTTTAATGTCAAAATCGGGGGTGCGGCCTATACGGCGCTGCAGCCTTATATCGCCGGCAAATACGGTATGGGTAAAATGGGGTGACTAGTTCGGGACAGGCTCCTGGTGTAGTATGGTTGGTTTCCGAGACACATTCATTATCATTCTGGGCAATTAACCATAAGATCCTTCTTACCTATTACAATGTTTCCTCTGTTTCCTCTCTCCACCGTGCCTGCCAGATGTAGGCATCTTACCGTCTTCCTCTGTTTAATGCAATAAGGAAATACTCTGCCATAAATGTTTTTCTGTTTTTGTTTACACAAGAAGGATATCCTTCTAAAGACTGAAGATACAACGTTAATTCAATAACAAAATGTTATTCCTATAAGACATACATGCAAAATAAGAAATTTAGAAATTAGCATGCAATGTTAAATTAAACGGCAGATTCTTCTTACATATTTCTGTCCATTAAAAAAACAATTACGTATTTTATAACAACATATATAAAAATATATAATAATAATAATTAATATTTATTTGAAAAATTAATAAATACAAAAAAAATTGCAATCACTTAAGTCAATTTGACAACTATATGGTCGTCATTTTCCCACTAAAAATCCTTTTTAAAGCCCTTTCATTTTGAGGGAAGCTCTAGATTAGTTTTGTCTTTCAAATGCCGTTGGAATTTAACCTTTTCATTTTTGGGCCTGCAAATGGGACTATAGTACCTTTAATGAAGTTTTGTTTGACTCTCGGACTCAATCTCTTTTTCAATCTCTTTCTCCCTCATTCTACTGACCTAATTTCCCTTTTCTAGAGCTTTTGCAATCATTCATTTTCCATTTTTTTGTATCTTTTTTTCTTTTTGCCTTAATTTTACTATTTTATTTGGAATCATGCAGCGTCACCGAATTGACATGAAGAAAACATATTATAAGCTGTCAAATGGTCATAATTGTTTTCATGATTTGGCGGCCATCTTGGCGGCCATTTTGAATTTTTTCGCATTTTATGGGAAAGGCTCAAGGTTTCACGTGTGACACTCATCGGATTCAGAATCAGCTTCCTCGAATTTACCAAAAAAACCACATCAAATAACCTGATAAATGGCCATCGAATCATTGTTTTCATAAATGGGCGGCCATTTTTAATTTTCACATTTTACGAGAAATGCTCAAGGTTTCGTGTCTGGCATGCATCAGATATGGATTCAGCACCCTCAAATTGACTAGAAAACATAAAATAACCTGTTAAATGACCAAAGAATAAGCGTTTTCATGATTTGGCGGCCATTCTGAATTTTCGCCGTTTACGAGAAATGCTCAATGTTTCTCGTCTGGCTCTCATCGGATTTGGATTCAGCACCCTCGAATTGACAAGAAACCACCAAAAAACATTTTATGAAACCCCTCCCTGAATGGAAGGGGGGTTCATAAAACTGTTCGTAAAGTTACGTATGACTTTACGAATGACTTAAATATGAAAAGCCAAATTGGATGCTCAATCTTTTTTAACTGCATCAACTAAAGCTGAACTGTGCACATGTAGATAAGTAAATAAAAATCTTCTTTTTTTTTTTCTTTTTTTTTATATTTATGTTTGTATTAAACAAATCATCAAGAATCACAATATTTACAAAAGATTTACATGATAAGAATATAAAATCTTTAAAAAAAATTTTTTTTTAAAAGGGCAGAATATTAAGTAACAAATTTAATATTGTTCAAGAACGAGCTCCGAGACGGAAAAAGGTTGACTGAAGGATTGACGGTGACACCAACCCTATTAAACAAGCAACCAATTATATTGTAATATTAATGATCGTAACCTCACTGACTTGCAAAGACTTGAATATAACTTTTTTTAAATCATTTCGCTACCCGACTCGGCTAGATCCAGCAAATCCTTCTATCTGTAAATAATGCTATGGCCGAGAAACAAAGTGCACGAGGTCAGGAGGTCACGCCAACACCAAAAAAAGTTGCGAGTAAATCTCGGGTAAATCTCGGAGGTCGCCCTTGAAGTACATGAATTGGCACCTACAATGTAATGGCAATATTACAGCGTACACATATGTACATAATACATTGTACTGCATAATAACAATGGGCGAATATTACATGTGGCATTCTATACAAAAAAGAAAGCAATAAGGCACACATGATCAATACTTAAATGGATTTTAGGGTTGCAAGGGAAAAATTAAATTTCAAAACGCCATTTCTTGAAGTGGGCAGTTAGTTTGTTTTTCTTCTTTGCTAAATAATATTCAATTTCTTTCTGTTTTTTAACAAAAGATTTAAATGCTAAAATATTGGGGAGACTATTACTAAACTTGCAGGTATGAATATGGTATTTCATTAACAAAAATAAGTATGTAACAAACTTGTCATTACAGATTCCAAAAAGTTTTTCAAAATTGGTAACATTCATGGCAAAACTATTCTGGGAAATATAGCAAGGAGGTTCTGCCAAACTGGGGTAACCTTTTCACATTCACAAAATAAGTGGACCATTGTTTCCTCCTTTTTATCACATAGAGAGCAATTAGGTGAATTCTTCCGTTTAATCCTAAAAAGAAAATCATTCAATGCAATAGCTTTGTGGAAAATCTTGAAATAAAATGACCTCAGTTTACTATCAATAGTGCAAAAGAAATTAGTATTGTGGACCTTTTCCCAATCAATGGCTACTGGTACAGGTAAATATTCACTCCAAAAAGCATATCTTTTGTTCGGGATGTGGGAACCGAGTAATAAGTTGTACGTGTTTCTGGGGACTTTATTCATGTTCACTAGTTTATGGACAATTGTTTCATGGACTCCCACTATATCAGGATCAAAATTCTTCATCCACTCCTCTGGTATATTCTTAATCAAGAAGGTAAATTTCCTCCTGTCTGTAGCAAGGATACCAAAATCTAATATAAGTTCCTCAAAAAGTTTATGGCCAGGAAGAGGTGGATTAAATAAATCAAATACACTAAATATATTTTTATTGTACCAAGATGGATAGAAGAAATGGGATTTAGATTTCGAACGAATTAATCTGTTATACCACAGAACTTGACATGCACCTAGTTCTGAAAATGTATTACCATAAAATTCAATAATAGCTTCTTCTCTAAATAAGTACCAACTTCGTAATAATTCAGCAAGTTGTATGCTACCAAGAGAATTTAGAACACTCTCAGGAGCATGAGATTTCCACAAAAATTGAACATCTTGATTAAAATTTTCCAGAAAGGATAGCTCAATACCTTTCCATGGGGCATCAAAGTTATCATCCAATAATAGTTTAACCCACCTCATTTTTTGAGCAGTTGCAAAGGAAAAGGGGTCAACCATTTTAAGACCTGCATGTATATAGTCGTTACACATTACCTTTCTCTGAACTCTGTCATGACCTCCATTCCAAATAAACTTAAAGAATAATTTATTCAAAGTTTTGAAGAAAGAACTAGGTAATTTAATAGAAAGGACTGAGAAGAGGTATATTAGTTGGGGCAACACAAGGGTCTTAATAATACTCTGCCAATTAATGAAAGATTTCTTGTTCGCCAGCAATTTAAGGTTTGTTCCAATGTTCT